AAATTGGCAATTTTTATAAAAAACCCTTAAAGTCAAATATCTTGAAAAGGGTTAAGTTTAGGGTAGAGTGTTTCATAGTCATATCAGTCAGAAATGGTGGAAACTACAAGCCCCTAAAGGATCTACGTCGACTTAACCTGTCACCCTGTATATTGTATCACTAATTCGATTTAAGGGTCATATTCCACAACTCTACTCAATGCTCAAGTCAGGACTTGAGCATTGAGCAGACTTGAGTGTGATTTCAAGCACTGGACGACCCTAATGGCAAGGACTTTAGTATGATTTTCAGTGTTCACTGCAATACTCAAGTCCTGACTTGAGTATTGAGTAGACTTCTGGTATACGATCCTAAGGGTCGTATTCTAGAACTCTACTCAATGCTCAAGTCAGGACTTGAGTGTGATTCAAAGCACTCGAAATCATACTCAAATCCTTGCGATTAGGATCGTATTTCCAGTGAATGAAATCATACTCAAGTCTGCTCAAATCCTGACTTGAGCATTGAGTAGAGTTCTGGAATACGACCTTAAGACTTGCATCCCACTTATCAAAAACGCCTCGGCACGTCGTGCATACTAAACGCGTGTTATAATGGTGGTTTTTCTTTCGTCAACGTGCTTAATTCTAAAACATACTGACCATACCATAACTATTATAGGAATCACTTCTTACTTGGTTCATGTTTACCCTTATTCACGGAAAAGTTATTTAATTTTACTTTGTGACAATGACATGTCCGTTCTAACTAATAAAATGGGAAGGTTTGTTTGTGGTTCACTCTGTAACGTAAAAGAGGGTAGAAAAACCTGCCACTATTGGTACCATAGGCAGTCCATAGGTTGGGCTATTTCATAGTGAATGAAATTCCCCTTAGATCCACAGACAATATTTTAACTGAGTACAAATTTTCTTCTTGGCAGTCGGGTAGAAAATAAAAACGACCACCGAATATAAATATGCATCTGCATGCATATGAATTTTCTCATGGTCGACCAATTGTTTCATCGCATACCGCAAACAACCCTTCAATCACCAAATAACATTGGAAGTCATTTGTCAACGACCTAATGTACTGGGGTGTTTAATAATTATATACATATTTACAGGAATACGATTTCGTGTTCAGCGTGGACATCAAAGACGGGGCGCCAGCAATCAAACTGCCCTACAACAAGACTGAAGACCCCTGGGTCGCCGCGCAAGCCTTTATACATAAGTAAGTAAGTCTTTTGTATATTATATGTGCGAAATATTTGATGTCGAGTGCTAGATCGTTCAATACAATATCTTGGAATTCACCGCCGTAGCTTTCCTGTAAAACCCACACCATTTATTTATTTATTTATTCAATATGGTACGATTACAGATACACAAGTCACATTTACTTAAAATAATATTATCAGTACAACTCTTTCCGACTGTTATCCGATTACAACTGTACACAGCTTATCAAAGAAAAAAAAACATATATAATTATTACACACAGCTTATGTACTTATAATTATTACACACAGCTTATGTTTATATATCGGTGGTCCGAGCAGAAGCGGTTAATACAATTCGAGAGTCTGGTGGTTCTTATGATTTTCCAGAATGCCAGTACAGTGTACAGCCAGTATAGAGCCAGGAATATTAGTACAAGAAAGTGGAAGTTTCCCTGTCAAGAATTTTAATCAAGAATTAAAAACGAAAAAAGTGTGCTGAGAAAATTAAATAAAGAAGGTTCCACTCGGAATGACAGAATCAATTTATATAAAAAAGAAAATCCACTGACAAATCGTATCTAGAACCGTTATCGTTACTATATAAATATAACTTTTTTTCAGAAATAATTTACCTCAAGTATATCTTGACCAAGTAGCTAACTTCATCGTCACAAACGCGAAATTAGACACATTGCCTGCTTCAAGCAACGGGTAAGTTACATACCAGATGCAAATTGTAGTTATATATAAATATGTACGACGATTCAATACGATAAATTATATTTATTACGGAACACCCTAATTCTATAATTTTTATTAAACAAGTCAAATAAATTGTTGGTAATAAGGAGTGTTAAGGTCGCACTTGAATGCTCTGGTCACCCAGAGGCAGCCGCGGAAGCGTTCCGGGCACAGGAAATTTTGGCAGGGTTCATATAAACTTGTACATTACAAAAATTCCCGGCCCGGAACGCTTTCGCGGCCGCTCTGTGTGGCTAGAGCATATGACTTACTTTTATTACTCTCGTGTCATTTGTGGTTGTCTATGTGTGTGTGTCCATGGCACCCGCGACACAGGGCTTTCTCTAATGCGGGGCTATGTTGAGTGTGTGCGTTATTATTATTATTATTTATCAATTATTAATACGAACTGATCTTTTACAGTAAGTACTAAGTGCAGCTAAATAAAACGAGACTGAAAATGTTTAAAATGGCGTCGCTTGAAAAGCGCAGAGATCTTTTGGACCTTTGTTTTTGGACGTTTCTTACACAAAATTTTGTATGACAAAATTGACCACAATTGACAGCAATGTTCAAATTTACTATTCCGCGTAGATACTCTCGTCATAAGATTTGATTGATTGTCCTTCTGTCGCCACCATTTAGAAGAACTAAACTAGGTCTAGACTCACCTGTCTGCCGTCTGTCTAGATTACACAATGAGCACAGTGCCACAGCGGATATGTTCTCGGTGGTCTCGGTAGTCTTCTCCTCCTCCTAGTCTCCGAGAACATAGCGCAATAATTAACATGTAACATATTGTGTATAGGTATTATTATTGTTTTAATTGTTGTTTATATTTATATTGTTTTCTGTTTCTTATATATTTGTATTCGGTTTCATAGCACTTAAATACTAAGACTGCTCAATGCAAGTTGTGTTTCATCTGTCACTTGTTGTGCATCTTGTCAAAATATGCTTTTCATTGCAAATTGAACATGTAATTTAATGTAACAACTGTTGCTGAACCTAATAAATTATGTTAGTAATATACACACGTAATATAGTCCTGCGAGGTTGTTAAGTGTTTTTTTTATAATATCAAGTGACGGGTCAAACAAGGCGAGCGCCTGATGGTAAGCTCCACGCCTGTCCATAACAGTTGCAGGGCACTGTCACGGCACCCGTCACCCTAAGACATAAGTTGACAAGTCTCATGTGCCTGTAATTTCACCAGGACCCTTACCCTTCAAAACCGGAACACAGTACTGCTGACATTACTGCTTGGCGGCAGAAAAGATAAGGTGGTAGTACTTACCTGGACAAACTCTTTCACAAGGAGCTCTGCTGCTACTAAAGTATTGTACAAATAACCCAGCAGTTGGAGTCGAAACGATCCTTAAGTAGGTCCCCAGATTCATCAAAAAATAATGTATTTAATTTTTTTCTTGAAATTTTTAGCACATTTTTTTTTCAATGTAACTGACACCCCATACTGTAAAAAAATGTGTTTAGACTACCATGGCAACTTCTTACAAAAGTTGGCGCAACTAATCAAGATTCTAAAATGGTATAAAACCTGCTACGTCATGCTTGTTGGAAAAAATGATTTTGGTTTTTCTAAAAAGAGGCCAATTTAAAAAGGTTACCTTTTCTAAGTGAAAATGGCTTTCAGTGTCTCTAAGGTTAATTTAGTTTTCATATGCATGTAGTCGGAGTTAGACTGGCTGGTAAAAATGGTAAGCATGATTGAGTGAGGCAAAAAGTCTCAAAATTCCACATTTCTCGACAGATTAAGAATTTTAATAAAAGTAATGATTAAATTATTATAATTTTATTACAGACTACAGCAAGTACTCAGTTTTCCAACGGCAATGCCTTAAAAATGACCTTTTCACCAATCGTGCATTACGTCGTAAATTTATCTGTTGTACAGCTTCCGTGATTCTTCGTCGTAATTCGGCAACATTTAATGTCGGTTTTGCATAAACCTTTTCTTTCAGGCAATACCAGTAAAAAAGTGTAAGGGGTTCAAATCTGGAGACCGGGGTTGCCACTAAATTGGAGCCCCTAATCCATCGACCTGCGTACTCTTCATTGAGACTTTCTACTGGACGGGCATAATGAGCAGGACACTCGTCATGCTGATACCACATTTCTCGCAATATGCTAAGTGGCACGTCTTCCAGTCGATCTGACACTGGTTCTCCAAATTTGAACCCCCTAGACTTTTTACTGGGGTTGTCTGAAAGAAAAAGTTTATGCAAAACCAATATCAAATATTGCCGAATTACGACGAAGAATCATGGAAGCTGTACAACAGATAAATTTACGACGATATGCACGATTGGCACAAAGGTCATTTTTAAGGCATTGCCGTGCATGTATTGATGCCGTTGGAAAACAGTTTGAGTACTTGTAGTCTGTAATAAAATTATAATAATTTATTCACTACTTTTATTTAAATTCCTATATCTGTCGAGAAATGTGGAATTTTGAGACTGTTTGCCTCACTCAATCATGCTTACCATTTTTGCCAGTCAGTCTAACTCCGACTACATGGATATGAAACCTAAATTAACCTTAGAGGCACTGAAAGGCATTTTCACTTAGAAAAGGTAACCTTTTTAAATTGACCTCTTTTTAGAAAAAACAAGATAAATTTTTTCCAAGAACCATGACGCAGAAGGTTTTTATACCATTATAGAGTCTTGATTAGTTGCGCCAACTTTTTTTTTACAGTGTGGGGTGTCAAAGATACCTTGAAAAAATAAAATCTGTTCAAAATTTCAAGAAAACAATTAAATAGATTATTTTTTTGTGGTGAAAATTTTGCAATTCGGGCTTTCTTTGGTATTGTGTTCATTAGCTGGGCTATTTGGGTTACCGTTATTAAAACTAGAACAGCAAAATTAGCAAATTTGTAATTGTAGTACTTAAAAATGGCATACAGGTCGTACATTTTCAAAATTTTTCATTAAAATGCTTATATCGCAAAAAAAAACAACGACTCACTTTTTTAATTTTTTTTTCTGGGTTGCTACACACTAGGCAACATCCTGTTCCCAGGTTATCGTTGAGTTTTGGGACACCCTGTATAAGTAAATAATATACTTAACATGGCATAGAATAAAGCAAATAGTATATAAAAAGTGTTTCGTAAATATTAAATTCATTTGTCAAATCCTTGATTTGATGTTGCATTCAGGTATTCAGACCCATTCACGGGTGAGTCCCGCTACGTACCGGGTACAGGGCCGGCGGGAGGTACCGGTCTGCCCCCTCCATCATCTACTGACCCGTTCACAGGCTCCGGAGCGTACACCACTTCGTCAGTCACCACTCAGCTGAGTGCTGGAGACAAACCGCTCATACCACACGACGCTTATATCAGGTAAATATTTTAAAACATTCTCGTCTGTTTTAAACGTGTTTGGTGACACTCACGGCATAAACACACTATACGCTATTTACCGACAGTTGAAAGGGGCTAAATGTAACTGAGGTAGAAAATTATAGACATTAATACACGTTCGATTACAGTTATATTTTTGTACCTTAGGAGGGGATTAGTGTATATTGTTATTCTTACAATATTCAATTTCATTATTTATTGCATTTACCATAACATTACATAGGGTGGAAATGGCTTAAAACTAAACTAAGGGGAGTTACACCATTATGACCAAATTTGTTGTAACCATGATATATTCCATGACAGCATTCATGCATTCAACAGTTAATTTAAGCTTAGTATTTTATGATAGATAGCCGTAGCGCCATCTATGATATTTCGTCACCCAGTTAGATACCTTTACAGCTACCAGCTCTAGCTAGTGATGTCGCTATTCATTGTATTTAAATATTTATTGAATTGATATTCAATTATTTTTTATGTGAAATTACTCCACTAGTTTGTTACAATGATCGAATACTCAGAAATAATTCCTTCGATCCGATTATGTTTTCTGTAATCTGTACCATTACAATAATAATAATAAATAAAGAATAAAAAATATTGACCTTGAATGGCACTTTAAATTATATTTCGAGAGAGCTGTTTTACTCTTTACAATATTTAGACATGAAATAAATTAATACGTGGAGCGCACTATAAGTTTCCGGAATGATAAGAAAAAAATACTGTAAATGGTCAGAAATGAATTCATTGTTTCTCAAAATGTTCTCCGTTAGCGTTAATGCACTTTTTCACACGAATGAACCAATTTTGAAAACATTTATGCCATTCCGCCGTGACAATCTCTGAAACATATTTTTCATACTCTTCGACAGCCTCTTCAGATTCTCCAAAGCACGTGTCCACTTTTATTAAAAAATGAAGCAATCATCCACTTAGAGGCACTTTGCACGCGCGCCACTTTGGTTGGTTTCGGCTCATCTCGAAAGACCCATACGCTCGATTGCTGCTTTGTTTTGGGATCGTAACTATAAATCCATGTTTCGTCACCTGTTACTATGTCCCACACCAAATTTGACGCCCCTTCGTTGAATCTGGTAAGCATGGCATTGCACCAAGTGACGCGATCCGTTTTTTGAGCCTCAGTGAAATTGTGTGGGATCCACCGAGAGCACAGCTTTTTCGCACCCAAATGTTTGTGTAGTATTGATTGTATTTGACTCATGCCTATGCCTATAGATGCCCGAATTTCATGGTATGTCACATGGCTGTCTGTTCTGATCATACGGCGCACAGCATCGATGTTTTTGTTGTTCACAGCAGTGGACGGGCGACCATCACAAAATTCGTCACTGAGATTCACACGACCGCGTTTGAATTCTGCAAATCGGCTATAAATAGGCGTCTTGCATGGTTCTTTATCGCTAAAAGCAGTTTGAAGCCGAGTGACGCTCCGCTGAGCTGTTTAATTACACTTAAAGTTGTAGAAAATCGTACTACAAAAATTTTCACGAGTTACATCCATGGTGATGTAGACAACCAATTTCTAAAATGACGCCACAACGTAAAAACAAGAGACAGTCAGATGAAACAAACTGCATTCTACAGCCAAAGAGTTCCATTTTCAAATGTTGTAATTACTTTTTAAATATTGTTTAAGTAAGTGGCCAGTTACGGAAACTTATAGTGCGCCCTATGTAAACTCACGCAAGTCATCGGCTTACAGCCGAAGTGTGACAGGATTCGTTAAGCAGTTGTCTCGGCCGTTAAACTGGTTATTTAAGTGAATGTTACTTTACAGATTCGATCAAGCAAATCTAAAGGCGATCTACGACAAATTAAAAGAATTCAATAGCAAAATTGGAGATGGTCTGGCCGCGTTTACCGACGAACAATTATCGAATATTGTTAAATTAGGAGAATTGGTAAGTAAATGATAAATGCAAAGTGCTACCATTCAATTACATTTATTTATGGCAAATTTAGTACGTGACACCAAATAATTTTTGCTAGGGATTAGTGGGAACCACTACTAGATCGCTAAAGCAGCTTTTGGCAGCTGTAGAGCTTCTTATGAAAGAGCTCGTCCAAGGCAGTATAGCGACCTTGCTTATTTCTGCCGCGAAACAGTAATGCGTTAATTACTGCTCACCGGTGTTGAAACATAAGGGTGCTGGTGAAATTACAGGCACATGGGACTAGTCAACTTATGTCTTAGAGCGACGGGCGCAGTGCAGAACTTAGATCTTTGCGATATAAAACTCCGAACGGCACAACCACTGTTATGGACAGGCGTGTCGCTTACAACTGGGCGCACAGCACACTCATGCTCTTTCATATAATTACTAGGGAGCTAATTTTATATGCAATTTCAGAGGGGCATCAAAACTTGTACCAGGTTTCTGTACGTAAATGCAGCTTTTTTTAATGAGGACTGATAAATATATTTCTATTGTATTTTTGTTGTTCTTGTTCCAGAATAGTTCATACAGCCCCGATTCTGTGTCGTGTTTAAAACAAATGCTAGAATGGCCAAAAGGTATGTTAGATTTGTTGTTAGTGTTTTTTTGTGCTACAGTCCATCCATACATAATTCATAAACAATGTTACCATATTGCAGCATGTGATCTTACACAGTGACAACAAAGAACTTAGCGTTAGTTTAAAAAAACTGGTCGCAAACCTTTTATCCCTGATTAAATTTTTCGTTTTTCAGAAATACTCTTTCCAGTGTTAGATGTAACGAGACTGGCAGTTAGGAATAAAGAAATCAACGGATTAATGTTCGACTCTGCATATGGGCCCAATTTTATCAAATATCTACTCACTTTACTTACTCCAGGTATGCCTATGTATTTTTCTTGTTTTTCATGAAATGTTAAATTACTCATTAGTAACATCAGTGTTTTAAGCGGTAATACTGCAAAAAAGTTAGACAGATAATTTAGTATCAACACTTGTTTAAACGGCAACACTGAGCTTACGGCCTTGATAAAGTTATATCTATCAGTGTTCAATGATGGTAAATATCAACTTTCAGATAATCTCCCAGCGAATCAAATGCTAGCTATGCGAGTGCTCGTGAACGCGTTCAGCGACCTGCCCGGCGAGATGCTAATACTCGCAGCTAGAGAGAGCATCATTCATACTATCATATGCCTCAATGAACTGAATAATAATGGACAGGTAATGCAAAATCTAATCACATCATGATCACTAGTTAAGACGCGTGTCATACAATCGTATATCATATTAATTCCTAGTTAAGATTAATATTTAAAATTATGTGAATTGATAATATGTCGACGAGGGTTGTATTACCATTGAATAGCAAAAGTGTGACGCTTCCTAGACGGCCTCATTATGAATATAGAACAAAATTGCGCCAGGTTAAATGTAAGGCATGGTCACACTAAGAGCTGTACGAATGATGAATCTATTAAATGGCACACCGTACAGTTAGCATGTCTGTACTAAAGACATGCTCCGCCAGATGTCGTTACTAACCTGACTAACTAACTTTTTCGTCCAATTTCGTATGTCGTAATAATAGCGCATGTTACAAATTAAATGCTATGCATAAATAAACGCGCATGAAAAAAGTATGTGCGAGAAATGGAAATAAATAATTGCATATAATTACTGTTGGATAGATCGCGGCGGCGTCCCTTCTGCTAAATTTATCTGTAGCTTTGGCGCAACAGTCTGATAATATCGAGCTTGCAGACGCCCTAATGCTACTTCTCAGCAGAGTCACCGACAACGAAGCTTATTTCAGGTAAAATACTTAAATACGTAATTGATATTATGAACTAAGGTGCGTTTCAATCCATTCTAGACGGAAGATAAACAAACAGGTCACTGACCCGACTTTTTTAAACGGATCAGTGATGGCCAATTGTACTCCCAATTACATCATATAATTTAATCACCTCACCTCACGTTTGGACTAACGTTTTTCAAACATGATTTTTAGAGCAAGATTTTAACCTTCAAAATATGCGTGAAAGTCTTACTTATTCGATTTAATGAGCGATTGCATAAGAATTTTAACCAATTTGTTTACTTTTGATCTAATGGATTGACCTATACCCCGAACGATCACCAAGTTCCCTGATGGAAATACCGTTAAATTAATAAAAGTGTGAAAGGTGTGAAACGTTCAATTTACTGTGGGATTTAAGCACTTTATATTTCATCAATCTGTGACCCGCTGTACATACTTTTAGCATTTTCAAAGGATAAATAAGGTTGTTTATTCGATTCTTGTATCTGTCCACAGAGGCCTGGTAGCTCTCGGCACACTCCTAGCTGAATCTCCAAACAAGCTACAAATTCAAACAAAGATTGTATCCAACAATCAACTACACAACCGACTGAAAAGAGACTGCACAAATAACGACCCTAATGTTAAGAAAATCGCAGCTTGCTCCCAACAAATTGTAAAGTTGTTATGAAATTATTATTAAAACACTCCTTTTTATATGAGCGTTGTTATTTTAAGGGTGGACAGAGATCACTTATGCCTTTTATTGTATAAACGTATTAGCTTCGTGTATAAAAAATAGTTTTCGTTAATCAGTTAAAATTTTATGAACGGCTTAAATTACTAATCAACCTTATATTAATGACGTTAAGGTGCACTGATATTTGAAACAGCCGAATATTTTTGTCAAGAGTGCTGATATATTACCGTTATGGTCGTATACATATTTTTAGTTGATTCAACATTTCCAGTAATTTGATGCCGACTGTGCGCCTATATTTCCTTAATCCTAAAGACTGTTTCTTCGTTAATACGTATTGACCTTAATGCCTAATCCTAATTTCGAAAGCTGAGGAACTGTATGTGCCAGTGAAAACCGAACAATAAATTTTTTAATCTTCATAGACCTATTATGACCCTTAGACTATGGATTTTTTTTCCATCCTCTAAGCTATGACCACTATTTATGTACGAACCCCGTCTATGGGATGTTGAACTGTAATACTCAATGACGTGCATGCTACGTGCCTGCATACTAAACAGGCATGTTCTTTACACATTCACACTTACACGTACCAGTGCTGGGCGTTAATCAATTAAACTTCAATCAGAAATTCAATCCGATTAATCAATTCAATTGAAATAAATTGCAATTAAAATCAATTGCAATTAATTTTTTTAGTTGTTCTAAGAAACAATTGAAACTAACAATTAAAACCGAAACTACCAAATAAAAGTGTCATTAAGAATATGGGTTAGGGGGCCAGTTGACCCCATAATCGATCTAATAGCCGACCCCCTAACCAACCCCGCAACCACCCCTAACCGACCCCCAACTGAAACCTCTAACCGACCCCCAACTGAAACCCCTAACCGACCCCCAACTGAAACCCCTAACCGACCCCCAACTGAAAACCCTAAGCGACACCCTAACCGTCCCCTCTAAACCATATGCCCTATAAATTTATCACAATTGTCTGTTTTAATTGTTAATCAAAAACATTGAAATTGTATTAATTGTTAACTATAGATATACGCGATTAACGACTAATCAATTGTTAGTTGCGAGAACTGCAATTAACAAATAATTAATTGTTAATTGCGGTTCTCTCAACTAACAATTGATCAATCGTTAATTGCTGTTTCGCAATTGACAATTAATCAATTGGCAATCTTTAATTGCCAGAACGATTAAATTTTGCCTAACACTGACACGTACTTCGTTTTTTTAGAATTAGAAAAGCTAAACAAAGAAGCGAGTGATTGTAAACCGTTTTCTTCAGACCAAAAATGACAATAAAGGAAAACATCGTGAAAATTCATAACAAATTACATTTGCAAATAACACGACATGTTATTATTTTCTGAAAGTTTCCGCTTACTGTTTGAAACCTGTTTCTTTAAGTTTTTTATAGAGCAAGTCTTTTAAATAGATTAAGTTCGTAAAGGCAGAACATTTTCATTAATTGAAAGCGAAATTGGCGATTTGAATATCATATTTTTCTAAACTGCCCTAAATTTGATCGTTCTTCTCTAATTCAATCTTTTATTGTTGTCTAATAACTCTTCTATATACACTTATTTATCTAAATTTATTTTAAAAATAACAAAAATTTTGCTGTGAATAATATAATATTTATTCTATAAATATCTATACAATTTATTTACTTCCCATAGTTCCTCGCCTGATCCCTTTTTCACTCTTTTTCCAAATTCCATTATAAGTTTCCCCGTTTTAAAAACAAGTTTAGTCAAAATACTGTGTTTAAAAGCCAAGAGAAATAAGAACGCTAAAAAAACGAAGTATATAGTATTTGGGTATAATGGGAGCGACATCAACAATATAGTCTCATTAAATCCTGTCGGATGTATATGTAAGTTCAACCTACCTCATCCTGTCTTTATTTCTCCAAAACGAATTAGTCCGCCAACATGCGGATCTAGTGATAATTTATTGAAATTGCATTTGCATAAAGAACTGAAGAGCGATTTGATGTATTATCATTATCTACATAAATAATTCAGTAAAAAGCTATGGGTATTGCTTTGTCAGCAATCATATAAGATGCTTTGCATGAGGTGTCTAACTTTATATTAGCGTCGCTCTCATCAAATGCTGATCTTTAAATAAATAAAATAAATAACGCACACACTCAACATAGCCCCGCACTAGGGAAACCCTGTGTCGCGGGTGCCATGGACACACACAGACAACCACAAATTACACCCAAACTCACGAGACAAATAATTGTAGGCCATACAACTATTTCTCCCGGCCCGGGAATCAAACCTGGGACCTCTGCGTAGTATTCCGGCATGGTAACCGTTCGGCCACTGAGGCAGTTATCTTATATATATCTTTAGGCTTAGAATAATAAATCTTGGAAAGTAAAAAATATTATTAAAAAAAATATTTAATGGAATATGAACACCCTAAATAAATTACAATACGGTGTTATTTGTGTTGAGACAATTTTTATATTGCAATAATAAAATATAATATTTAAAGCACAGAGTTTTATTATACATTACAATACATTATCTATATATCACAATTTTCTCCTAATCCTGAGTGCATTGATACAAGTAAAAGGATCTACTGCACGAATCTTTGAAACAAGTGTCAACTTGAAATTATCGCTGCCTACATTTGTTGGATAGACCAGCACGTAGTGAGACGGCATGCAGCGCGGTTCCCGTTACACTCAAGTGATGCTCTCATCTGTACCCAAACTCTTAACAAAATCTCCCTGCTGACTGACTCTTATACATTTGTTTGAAACAATTAAGGTTTCAGCCAACACATTTCATGGAAGCACTTCATCGAATTTTCTTAAGATTCCCTTATACAGACGATTCCTCGTTTATCATTACGATAATCGTATCGATCGCTATACCCCCGCATTGAAGTTGAATCGTTAACGACATAAACTATCAATTCATCGTTTCTATCAGTTTGAAAACTCAAGTAGTGAAGATAAATCGTCCCGAATATTTGGGACTTTACGTAGATTTTTTTCACAAGATTAACGATTCAGCGTGCCTTATTCCAGTGTGACCATTATTTAAGTGTCGAGTATGAAAAAACAATGGTATATATTCAATTAGGCAATTTTTGCACATCAACTTTTAAGAATTTAAATGAGAATGGGTTATCGATCATTATAAGCGCATTACGATTACTTTTATTTATGCATGTATTGGAATATAATTAAAATTAGGGACTTTTAAACCTATAAATCCTATCTTTGAAAATTCATATATTAGAAAAATAATTTGATATACCTACTTTTATAGATTCTTTCTGATTTCTTCATTGTTACCCTACCAACCGAAAAAGTTAATAAATATATACAAAATAAAGAAATCTCGTTTTTTCATAATTTGTATTATTTCATACTTGATTGTGAAATAAATTATAGTATAGACAATTCACCAATAAAGACTGGCAAGTATAATTTTGGACCCACAGACATTGCGGAATTGAAAAATCTGCCGACAACTGCTAGCCATAATTATAAGGCTAGGTTTAGATGGATGCACATCTGCCGCGCGTCGAGTTGGAACGTTCAGATTACGAGAGGCAATGCGCGGTGCAAAGGCAAAGTAGCAAAGAGTCTAACACGTCCTCTTGCAACGAAAACGCGCGGTGACGTGCTTTTGCCAGATTTTGATGCGCGTTTTAAAGTATTTCCTCTGAACGCGGCGGTACCGCACGTATGTCCATAATGGGAGATGAGAATGTAAAATATATGAATATCTAGACGCGTGATACGAAAACGCACGTTAAATTTGTCACCTGAACTTAGCCGTAATCATATGTTAAAAGTGCTTTTATCACATGAAAGTTATAAAAATAAGACTAACTACATAAACAAATTATGTATACATGAAATTTTATAAATCTCCTACGCATACAAAAGTTATCGACTAATTTCGTTCGTAGAATCTTGAATCTTTTTCGGAAAAGTTGTCAATTTGCATATGGGGCCTTATTACACTAAGGGTGCGAATTTCAGGATCCAAAAGTAACCCGTCCGTGTCTTAATATTGGAATTTATGACGTTACAATATTACTTCTTCTTTTTCAACTCTTCGAAACGTTTATTTAGATCATCAAAATCAATTTCATCTGGTGCACTCGAGTTGTTCTGCGGGTTAGAATGCGACGAGTTGCTATGCGGTACAGAGGGCAACAGCAAGTCGGATGGTACGGACGGCAAATCTGGCAATTCCGGGAAATGACCAGATCCTGAACCCGGTGGTTTAGCACGCGGTTGTGGTGTCGGTGCTGGTGGCTGATGCGGAACTGGTGGCTGATGCGGAACTGGTGGCTGATGCGGAATTGGTGACTGATGCGCACTTGCCGACGGAGACGGAACTGCCGGCTGAAAAAAAAACAAATTAAAATGAACACGATGTTTTATTCTAACAAATAATGGTGAATGTCTGATTTGATTAATTTGGAGTAAATACGAGCGCCGCCATTTCAGGGATCAAAAGTTAGACTGCCAACAGATGGCCAATGCATCTACAGTTACTGCGTGCAGTCGAGACTTCAAGCGTCAAGATGACAAACGTCAAGCTATGTGAACGATAAACCGAGAATCAAAAGTAGCATTCCTAAGAGAATAATGATTTTTTTTATGTTTTTGATTATGTCTGAAACAACTTGATCTTAATTTAACGAATTTATATCATTTGCACATTCTTAAAATATGTTTATTTTTTGTAATACGATACTTTAGTAGGAGGGGTCGAATTGTATACGAAATCATAAGATTGACGACATGATGATATCGGAGAGCTTATAAAGAGGGCTTTTGTCAAGGATTAATAAATCACGTATCATACTATTCAAGGCTTGCAAAACCAATTTAAAAATGAAAAAGCTGACAAATATGGTATAAACAAAGCAAATTGAAAAGGCATAGTTACCATATCATAGTGTATACTGTCGTACGCAGGCGGAAGGTTGTGCATTTCCTCCTGAAAAGAAAAACGAGCTAACTAAAAGTGCGATAGTAAACGTGCACCGACTTAGAAAAAAAGCATTCATAAGTAATATTGACGTACTTGCTTTTACATGATCGAATTCCTTTCAAAAATGTAACAAATTTTCTTACAATTTTTTAATGATATTCGTAAAAACAATATTCTGCCCTCGGAACGTAAAAAGGCACAACTGCTGTATAAAGTTCGTATAGTCGTGCCTTTTTTCGTTACGAGGGCAGTATTAAATACGTTGTAAAATGAAAATTTGATACCCACAATGCTTCATATAACTTGGATAACATGCCCGTAGCTTAAGTGAAAATGAATTACGTGCAAACATCGCGAATAATAAAACTACAAACCTGCAAGAAACTGTTGCTAAAATCTTTAGAGTTGACTCCAGGGGGCATATTGTAGGCTGTCGGCGGTGGTTGGCTTGGCCCGCCGTAATTTGGAGGTGTCGCTATGAACCCTCCCGCTTTACCGCCTGACGGTGTCTACAAAGTTAAAGTTAACATGTTAAGTGTGCATAAATACTTTTCATCGAATTTCATTTAGAAAAAGCACAGCATATAATGGTACAGTACACACACTATATAATTACTTTGCGACTACAATACTGTACAAATGGAAAGCACAACAAGCCTCATTACATATATGTTAACAAATAATACGAATGAAAAAATAAGAAACTTAAATAAGTAACTATGTAACAAATAAATAATTAACATAACAGGCAGTGTGTGTGCTGTGCCGTTACGGAATCTGTCATTCACTCGGCTTAATAAGCTAAAGCAGTGGTTCAGGTAACAAAAATACACGTGCCACGATACGTAGCAGATATACATAACATAGAATCTCACACTCGTCATTTCATAGGTTTTTTCCAATGCTGAACTGCTATATAACCTCTAATGTGTACTATTTCAACCTATGCTCTACATGTCACTGCGTGATTCTCTGTCATGGGAATAAAATACAGTTTAGCTGATTCATTGCGGGAAAGTGGCTTCACATGTCTTCGTTTTAAACCTATAATTAATTATAATTACACAAATTATTTTTATTGACCTTTTCCAACTTCAGTGTTTTTGAATGTCCTCCATCGTAAAAGCAAGCCTTAATTAGTAAACCAAACTACAAAACACGTACTGTAGGATAATTGAAAGGTGTGACCGTAGGAGGTGGTAGATGGGGCATCTGCGGCATTGGTGGTGCTGGTGGGTATCCGATAAAACCCGGAGGCATGGGTGGTCCGTTTATATCTATTAACATCGCATCGCGAGCTGTAAACATTCAAATGATACAAGTTTCAATTAGATATAAGTTGAGTATCTTGTACCCAACTGTCAGACTGCCTGTTTTATGTAAACATAATACAATGATAGTATTGGTCAATGTGGGCATGAGTCCAAGAGAAAGATATGTTGCTATAGTTACATATGCTAAACCCTCCTTCTGCAAATCTGAATGGTGCTTGAAGAAAACTCTCAGTAATGGTAAAATAGTGATATTGAGTAATGACTCATTACAATACCTTCTTCTTCACGCATCACTTGTTCATCAGGTGCATATTCGACATTGTAGTTCTTAGCGATTTCTATCAAATATCTCTCTACCAATATTTTGGGCGGGCTCTGTACAGACATCTTGTGTTTTAATTTGTCACTTATTGTATTTACGTTTTCATTTCTGCACGCATCTGCATAGATCTTTCCGTATTTTGCTGTGAGTAAATCTGAGATTACTTTAAGTTCCTGGAAAAATAACACATTATTCAACACTCAAATACAGAAGACACTGCTTGAAAACACATTAAAAAGTGAAGCATATTCTAATTATATCATAAGCATTACAGCAAAATAAAAACATTGTGACTTAAAAAATTCTTAAACTGAACAATCTAACAAAAGACAAGGGGTATGTGGTACAAAACTATCCAATTGCATCCTTCAAGAAAGCTCTGGTACGTGGAGGGTAGCCTATCAAAGTCACTGTTGTTAATAGCTCTTAGATTGCATATAAATTTACATAATTTTACTATCATATGAGTAGGGCAGAATCCCCTCAATGCCAATTCTGTAACAAGTTGGAAGACTGCTGAAGGGCCCAATATCAATTAAAAGAGAGTTACAGTGCTGAATCTCTATACACCTTTGTGAGGTCTTGCCTAATAAGGAGCAATACCTCTCATGGGAGTAATGACAGATAAAGTAGCATGGATAGTTATATGTATACATACATTACGAGACCCGGAACGTCCGTACGTTTCAGGCCTCTTAAAAATAGATTTTTTTAAATTTAATACGTCATGTTAACTAAGTAAACTTAATTTATTCATGACTTCTTTTTTATACTATGTGGTGGAAATAATGAAGAAATAATAAGCATCGTCTAAGAGCAACCAGGGCCACTCCTGCCTGCTCAGCGCATAGTGCCTACACTTCGCTCGGAGTGTAGGTTTGTTACATTATTATTTTAGTTGTACCTACAGGTTGTAAACATAATTTGATAAAATTAAGGTTTTCATCACAGTACCTATACTCGTGCTATATTAATATTAAAGCGCAGTAGATATTGACTTGTCGATATCTTGATTGTGGAGTATGATTATGAACTTGGTACTTGGTGCAACGGGCTGGTATCCGCAACTCGACGACAAAGCGCCTATTTTGCCTATTTTGTGGTATGATTATGAAATAGAAATGAAAAGTTGAACAACTCTGAATTTGAAGTACTCGTATTCAAACAACCACAAAGAAAACAATAAACAAGTTTACTATTTGATGACATTTTTTAAATAGGGAACGCATTGACATACCATTAAATGGACGTCGGGTTCGCGCTAAAAATTGTCCGCACCTGTAGGGTGTTAAAATCGCATACAGATTGTCAATCGCGCAACAGTCTTCGTTTGTTCGAGAGACAGCGCGGTTGTCAATCACGCAGTACCATATAATAATAACTTGTAAAAATTACTGCAGTAAAGTGTAAAAACAAGATTTTGTATCACATTTTCACTAAACACATATATTGTGTTATCATAGTTCTCATTTAAAAGTGTTATTTTGTACAGTTTTATGGATTTAATTTATAATATTTTAAAATTAATAACTAACAAAATATTGTTGTACTCGTTTTACGGCTTGGGATAACATATCAGAACATATATCTATATGTTACATAACATATCAGAAGTCAGAAAATACATTTTTGCCCGTAATAACATTAGCTCCAATTTTCATAATGTCAAATGTATTTTTTTTTTGAAGATTACAAAACAAAAGGTAATTTTGGCTTCGTGAAAAGCATTAAAATTACTCGAAAGCGTAACGGTTTTATTATAAATCAGTTTTCGGAATTACGGATATTTGAGTTTACGTTTAGTTGGAATATCGGTACATTTCTTATAGTACACGCTTATTTCCACATTTGTAGTAATATTTGTATGTATGCATCTGCCTAACTCTTTATTATATCTTTAAGTAAATTTGTACAAAATTCGACATAATAATATATACAAAAATTAATTAATATTTACGATAAAGGCTATCCCATTACTCTTGTGTTCAAGTAATTTTCAGTCGAAGCTAAATATGGTGCATTTTGTTAAGTTTCCAGTAGGAGAAGTAGAATATGGTGTTTTTGGACCCATAAATTGTTGCAAGCAAAATTAGGCAGCACTGCAATGACGTTACAATTTAAATAAATGTTTTAGTTTTTTATATTTCGTTACATGTTACTACGTTTGTATAGGTTAACTTCGGACATTTTTTCGTGGTTTTTGTTTTAGACCCGATGTCTATTTAGTGGTAGGTCAATAAGGGAACGCTTCATTTCTATTATGAATGGAGCTATGCAACGTGAATGGACTGCGAGATTATGGCAATGTGTGGCTTATTCCCAGTTGTCACCACTGGCTACAAATGGGACAAAAATCCCATACTTCACAAGGTGGTGTCAAACGGGATAAAAAAATCTCAGTTCTTGCCAGTAGTGATTTCTACTGGCGACAAATGGGAAAAATTCCATACGTTACCAGGTGGTGACAAACGGAATAAAAAAAAATCTCAGTTGTTGCCAGTGGTGATTTCCACTGGCGACAAATGGGAAATGGAAAATTTCTGAATAATTGTAAATGATATGATTATTTCTGTGATTTTTAATTATTGGAAATATCTGACTGTATTTTTTAAAAGATCTATACTTCTATCATTAAACTCAAATTTTATTTTATTGCCTTTTGATGGTGGCAACAAACAAACATTAATTGGGATTTTTTATTCCATTTGTTTTTTTACCACTGGCAACTAGTGGGATATTTTAAATTCCAATTTGTCGCCAGTAGCAGCAACATTTTTTCCCACTTGTCGCTAGTGGAAATCACCACTGGCAACAACTGCGATTTTTTTTATTCCGTTTGTCACTACCTGGTAACATATGGGAGTATTTTCCCATTTGTCGCCAGTGGTAGGAATGGGTAATATAGCTTTTTCGAAACTATATATCAATATTCGAAATCGGATTTCGAAACTAAATATTCATGGACACAGCCCGCGTGCGCGCAGCGTTGATACATTGCCGTCACTGATATGCGGAATCAGATTTCGAAGCTATATATTATTGGATATAGTTCTACAAGAGTAATGCGAGTCAATGTTAGTATACAGTTTCGAAGACGAACACAAAAGGTTTCGCGTTGATATCCACTCGGTAATCGCTCGGATTGATTCGGGATCGCTATAAAAAATACGCGATGCGGAGTAAAATCGATATATGGTTTCTAAGATATACGATAATGGATTTTCGATATTGCCACAATATATAGTTTCAATAACTATTTGCGATTTGTAACTCCCATTCCTAGCCAGTGGTGACAACTGGGAATAAGCTCAATGTGTGCGTCAAGCCGCGCTGCTACGTTTTGTATGGAGTTACTATGCTTGTTTTATTATATTATGCTATAAGTATGCATCTAATTACATATCTAGACGTATATTGAACTTTAAGATGGCGGCGCTTACTTAGTATTCAAACACTACCTCAATATGTCTTGCTTTATTAAGCTATCCCTGTACAGTAGTGTAGACGTCACGGGCATGTTATTATAATATTACCTGAACATCAGTATGCATTCGCGGTGCGACCCAAATGAGACTAGATATGGCTTCAGCCAAACCTTCATCCAGTTCTTTCATCTGGGTGACAAGTCCAAATCTTGCCAGGATCAAGTCACAGTACATTTCCACTATCTCCATTGCTTCCACCATGTAGTCTTCTCTGTAATTAGTAAAGATGTGTAAAAAATGTTGATTGAACAACCACCAGGCACCATAAAACATGGTTGAATGGAGAACCTACCGGAGTGCAAACGGCAAGCATTGATGACCATGGTCTCCATAAAAGTTCGATTCGCGAGTTAATTTTTTTGGGGAAATTTAAACAGTTTCCAACTCTACTACAAGTTTCATTTTATAGTTATGTTTCAGAAATTGCCAAAGACTTCAATCTCTTAAAAGTGAAAAGACATTCCCTCCAAGTATAATTGTTTTTTCAGGTTGCTGTTCATCATCATCCAATTAAGTTAATTTAAAATATGCAAATTGACAAGGCGGATAATGATATGCTGCAGGTAAAAAACAGGCAAGCCTATTTTTTATGCATTATGGAAGGGTAATATTAAGTGACATCAATATCATGTTAACCAACATGAAATTGTAGTTCTGGTCATTTTTTAACAATCCAAAATGTGATTGCAATTAGTAAACTAATGACTGCTTGGATTTTTATGCTTAGGGATGTCCTTTATCAAATATGCCTTTGTCATCTTGACACTGTATGATATAGTTAAAAAAAAGCACTCTTCAATTACCAGTTTCATAATGCGCCACAGATTTAACTCTGACTGCCCTTACTTTTACTTTTAGGATATCTATTGTATTCTACACCAGAATGGATTGGTCCATTCACATACATCATCATGTACAGTCATATACATAAGATATCTGAACCCCCAAGCCGACTTTGTCGACCTTTTGGTTCTGAGCACAAAAATGTGGAGAAAATAGTTAAACAAACTTAATCTTTAACCCGTGAGCCGTAAAATTTATTTTGGTATGACTCCCTGGTCGTCACATTAGTGAACGACGTTTTAAAAAGGTTTTTAAGCTAATTTGATCTTTAACATGTGGTTCTTACTTAAATACAGAACACAAGTTTCATCCTGGGGCCAACACTGACAACTCTCGGCTTCAGTCTGAGTCTTGCCAGTGAGGGCGCGAAGTGATCAACACGGCCCGGCCATGCGTCTCTGGGGGTGGACCACGGCAAGTGGTGGGCGGTCTTAATTTACACCCTCCTGCGTTCATGCCTACGCAGTTGAGCGCCGTACGCACGGATGAAGGAATCCTGGGGGGCTGAGCCCGAGCGGGGTGGGGACCCCGGCAAGCAATACGGGCCCTCTTTGGCCCTGATTTCATGCTAAACGGTAGCCCTGTGACTAGCCAACACAGGGAAACGGCAATGTGTCCCGTCAGAGGGCCACTGGCGAGGTGTGGGGGGGACGGACTCGGCCATGCTGACGGGGTGAGTATGTGCGGAGTAGCTGGCGGACTTTGATCAAGTCAGCCAGCCGCACATTTCGAGCCCCCGATGTCGCGCAATGAGCTCCTAACTTCTGCACCTATACTCTCCTGATAATCCTGGTGTCCCGAATGGGACATCCCCAAAGGTGCGGGCTCCGTGGTGGGTGGGAAATCAGGAGAGCGAACAATGAACACTTTACTATGGACATTAATGATCACTCAAAAACTTTAAATCACCCAAAACCGGTGGTACTGGAGGGAAAACCCAAAAGTGCCCCAACAACACATACACACACACAACAGCGCCCTACGGTGAGTGGTAGGCCAAAGGGGAAACCCCAAGGTCAGCCAAGCACCGAGGCTGGTGCTAGTTCAGCAGTAGCGGTAGTGGCCCAAACCTCGGGTTCTGCGGCCCCCGCGAACGCACCGGGTTCTGCATCGCAGAACTGGTGAGACTGGTGAGTCGCAAACCTAAACTCAAGGCCACAGCACCCATCCGCAAGGAAGGGGTGAGCGGCCACGGTGAGCGATCACCTCCAGCGGGTGCTGGAGGTGGTCGCTCACCGTGGCCGCTCACTCACTCACTGGGTAGTGGGAGCAGGGGACGCCCTGCCCGCAAGAACAAGCAAGGTCGTCTGAGGGAACGCGAGCGCCGTGAAAACCCCAACAACCAACGGCCGAAGGAGGGAGAGGCCCCCAGTGGATGACGGAAGTGGCCCGAGGACTGCACCAGTGCTGTCTGCTGGGCCCGCCGCACACCCCTCTGGAAGGGCCCCCTCCCTCCTGGATACAAACCAGTAAACGCGCCGAGGCCCTCGACCAATGCCAAACGTGCTCGACTCGACGAGACCATATCTCTGAGAGGCGAGCATAAACGGCAAAGGGTTGAGAGGCCCGCCCAACAACGAACGTACGCCGAGGCTACCAAGCCAGAACTGATGGCGGTGATCACCTCGGCAAAAACCGGCTACATACGGAGCCCCGATGTCGACAAAGTTCAGGAGGTCCTATGTGAGCGTCTCGCCCAGGGAGCGGAGGAGTGCGGCGAGGCGGACGTCGGCCCACAATTCAGGGGTAAACCTGTCTTTAGTGACGGGTCCCTGAAATTGCGGTGCCACGACACAGCCACATTCCAGTGGCTAGAAGACGCCATTAGCACCATCAGGCTGCCATCCGGGGAGCCCCTCTCATTGAAAAATGGGGCGGAGGCTTCCCGGAGGGCAGTCTGCGGACTGTTGATTCCTGGCCACTGGGAGGATGTACGCCGAATCGGCCGCATCCTCAAGTGACAAAACCCATGGGCGGAGGTTCACCGCTGGTTTGTCCACAAGCTGCAGAAGCAAAGTGGACATACCTTCGTGGTGGTGAGCCTCCCCGAAGAACTGGTCCCGGCTGTCCTGGATCATGACCGGCGCTTCACTTTACAGTTAGGCACGGTCTACCTCAGGTTCAGATCCAAAAGGGGCCTGTACACGGATACGCCGCCTGAGAAGGCGGGCATCAATAAACCACCGATGGATGTCTCCCCGGAGCCCTCTACCTCCTCTGGCATCACCGAAGAAGGGAAGGAGCTCTCCCTGACCCCAGTCTCTGCGGACAAGTGCGTGTCGGGAATGGGAGACATCCGACTGAGCGAGGACGAAGACGAGGAGCTGCTGTCCACTGATGGCGGTTACCCCCTCGCTCAGTAAATCACAAATCATCCAGTGCAACCTCCACCACAGCCGTGGCACTGATCCAGGAACCGTGGATCAGCGCCCGCGGCCAAATAAATGGACTCTCACAAATGAGAGGTAAGCTGATATCAACTACCATCTCAGAAAAACCACGAACTTGCTTATATTACTCTAATAATTTACATGTACAGCCACTAACAGAATTCTGTTCCAGAGACCTGTGTGCCGTCAAGCTTTTAGCTGACACGGCCACGGGCCTGCCTGAAGTGGTGCTCGCCTCTGTCTATATGGCGGAGACTGATTAACCACCACCGCAGGAAATGGAACGGCTAATCAAATATTGCGAGCAGAACGGCCAGCACATCGTCGTGGCCACTGACTCCAATGCCCACCATCCGTTGTGGGGCATGGAACTTGCTAATGACAGAGGTAAGAACCTAACAGAATACTTATTCACAACTAACCTTCAAATCCTTAACAAAGGTACAATACCAACCTTCGTAAATAAAAGATGCAGGACGATTATAGACTTAACCCTAGCGTCCGAAGGACCTGTAAATCTTGTCCAAGACAGACACGTGTCCGAAGAAGCATCCTTCTCGGACCACAGATGGGTAAAATTCAACTTAGAAACAACCATCAAAGAACAACAACCGAAACGGAATCCCCGAAAAACCGATCGTAAAATATACATTGACAAACTACACCAGAGCCTGGGGGAACCGGTAGCACCGAGAAGACTGCTGGACACAGCACAGACAGAAACACATGTTACAGAACTGACATCAAACATATTGAGCAGCTATAACTCCGCATGCCCACCGAGTGAATCCACCCCGCGGCAAGGCCAACACTGGTGGGGGCCTGAGCTTGAGAGGCTACGAAGAAGGGTAAGGAGACGCTTCAATAGAGCAATGAACACATGCGCGGATGAGGACTGGGAAAACTACAAGACGGCCAAATCCAAGCTAAAAAAGCGCATACGATTCAGGAGCACCGCGTCATGGCGAGGCTACTGCGGGAACATCACGTCTTGTGCACAAGCGAACAGAATAAAGAAAATCCTAGGCAACTCAAATTCAACTGAGCTAGGTTCAATACGCAAAATACACAACTTCCCCTGCGGACACGGAGAGAACCCTACTGGAAGCACATTTCCCAGGATGTAGGTTCGTCCAAGACGAAAGGTGCGAAGAAATGAACTACAACACATCGATCCATAACTGGCGATACGCTGAACAAGTAGTAACATACGAAAAGACAAAATGGGCAGCAAACACCTTGGAACCGTACAAAGCTCCGGGACAAGATTCACTCCTACGATGGGGCGGGGATACACTGGTCCAGCACCTGGCCAACATCTTTCAGGCCTGTCTAGCCTTCAGCTATGTGCCCTACAGCTGGCGAGAGGTAAAAGTCATATTTATACCGAAACCAGGTAAAAACGACTACACTGACGCGAAGTCCTTCAGACCAATCAGCCTCACATCGTTCTTCTTGAAAACATTAGAAAGGTTATGTGACAGAGAACTGAGGGATGGAGCGCTTAAGAACGTACCACTACACGGAAACCAACATGCATACAGTCAAGGCAAATCCACTGAATCGGCCCTACATGCCGTTGTGGGCAAGATAGAAGTGGCCCTCAAAAACAAAGCAATCTGCCTAGGCACCTTTATCGACATTGAAGGATGAAGCATGTGAATGTCAAGCATCAAATCTCATCATCATATCATGATACGCAGTCATAACACATGAAGGATCATATGCAGCAACGCATCAAGGTATTATCTTTATGAGAGTCCCAAAAGTAGTGTAGACTCACTGTATGGGGCAGAATCTCAAGTACTACATTATATTAAGCTTATCTGTATGAATCATAGAAGTAACATATAGCTCAATTGTTATTGAGATAAAAAATAATTTAATGTAAATAGAAATGTATTAATATAAATAATTACTCAAAAAAGATTATGTTCTACACATACGCGGAGACGCATACCCTACTTTATTTCTTTATTAACTTCGAGATGTTAATCTCGAATCTCTAAAGAGGTACTTAGTCCATTATCTAAACATAATTTACACTATAACGTAATAATAACAAGGCCTACTTCTTATTGACAAAGGTATGAATAATGTAGTCAATATAATGATGATGTGAGCCAAGGGCAATGAAATTTATTGACGAAAATATTTCTCATTTTTGTAAACTGAAACTATGTTATCTTATGTGTCTTAGATAGATGTTATTCATAGTTTATACATTCATACTGACCTGATAATGTGTTCTACGCGAATTTTAGCTCTCTCACTTTTACCAGCTGCAATATATTCGGCAATTTCCTTACGTGATTTCTGTGCTAATTCAGTTTTCTTTTTCTCCAACAGTTTTAGCCGATTTATAGCAAGCCTTAAGTGCGTTTTCAGCTTAGTATAATTCGGGTTTGTGGAAAACATCTTTAATTATTATTAAATCACACAATTTGCAACAAGAAACTGCAAAATAGATATACGTATGAGTAATACTATTTATGTGTTATTTGTTAACGCGTGAATCATCTAATCTTTTTTTTTTTTATTGCTGGCCATGGAAACAAAGTCCTTCAGCCAAAAACATAAACGTTTAATTATATTTCTATAAATATGGCCACCACAAAGTGGATAGGCAATTTGAGGCGGCGTGCTTGGATTGGATTGACTCGGGATTCCTTAGAACGGTACGGCCGATACGGGTATTTTAGTTCGAAATTCGTATAATTTCGCGTTTTAATCTTCGATTAAGGCACAATAGCAC